TATATTTCATGGTTGTTCTTGTTATATGAATTGATAAATTCATGGATTTGATTTAGTTACTTTTACATGTTTTAATTGATGTAATTTCATATTTGTGTATTGATGAGACTTAGAAACATGCCTTAGAATCCTTGACAGTAAAGAATAAATTCACAGTAGGGTTTCTAGGTTGAATTGTGTAATCAGTGGTCGATCCATCGTTACAGTGCTCGAGCCTTGGAGGCAAAGCTCGAGCCATGGATGAAAAGCTCGAGCCCTGGGAAGCAAAGCTTGAGCCATATGAGGAAAGCTCGAGCTGTTGATGTAAAGCTTGAGCCATATGGACAGAAAGCTTGAGCTATGGTTAGGAAGCTCGAGCCATTAAGGTGAAAGCTCGAGCCTTACCTGGGGAAGTTTCGTAAACAGCATTAAATTAATTTTAATTGCTTTTGAGGGGTCGTTAACATTAAATAAGGACTATGTATGAATTTAAATAAATTCTAAATAGACTTAAATGTAACAATGCTTGTTATTTGAATGCTTTGAGGAATGAATGGGTTAAATTTATTATGAAAAAAAAAATGGGTTAATTTTTTTTTTTAAATTGTTCGAGCAATTGAGATTAAATGTGTAGCGTGAATTTTATATAGAAAATGCTTACTTGACTGGATAATAAAATATCAGCATGTTTAAGATTCAGTTTGTGTAGGATTTATGATGTATGAAGCTTAAATAAATTATAAGTTATTCCTATTTTGTGATAGCATGATATTATGTTTTTTTTCTGGATTATTTGATGTACTTCTTTAATTGTTACATCAACTATTGGATTGTGTGGATGTAGTGCACCAGTATAGGATGGTGGCACTCAGGGGATGGATTAACTTATCAGTTAAATCCTACTTATTTTATAAGGAAATGAATTAACTAAAATGTTAAGTCCTACTTATATTTGTGTCAGGTCAACTGAACAAGTTAGATGATACATAGTGGATTACTTTATATTGGATATGATATATATATATATATATATATATATATTATATATATAGACATATTCCATGATATGAGCTTGAGCCTCAGGATCATTGTTTAGGGTGCGTATATTGCCAGGGATGTGTAGCTAGATATAATGTGGTTGTGTGCCTTGGTAGGTTTAGGTACTCATGCCCACTATATGTACATTTTGCATGTTGTCTACTATTTAGGTTGAAGCAACCCTATAGTCTAGTGAGGTTCCTTTAGTGTGTATATGTATTTATGGACTATGTAGTTATTGCATGGGTTAGCTATAGTTATGTAGTTCTCCGGTCTCCATTTGGGTTGTTGTAGAAAGAACTTATTCGTGAGCCTGACCCACTATTATTTTTCAGGTGTTCATCAGTTTCAGACATAGAGCTTGTTCGTACTGAGCAGAGACAGTCCACATCACTCTTACGATTCTACGTAGGATTCTCTTTATGTTTTAGTTTCGGATTATATTTCTTTTCAGTTATTTTTCAGTTAGGATATTAATAGGGGTCCACTAGATGGATTTTAGAGTTGTAATGATATCGGAGGTTTTGGATATTCCATTTGGAGGATTAATTATTTATTAATTTAAGGATTTATTCTTTAGTTTCTTTCTGCTATATTATTTATTCTTAGATATTTCTTTTGTAATTAAATGCTTGTTTATATACTTAATTGTTTGGTATCCCTCAGATCTGTGCTCGGACTTGATCACCCATGGCTCTAGAATCGAGGGGTTTCATAGGTGAGTAAACTTTATTACTCATAGGGAATGAGCATGCATAGACCTAACTTTTTACAAGGTTATCACAATAACGTAAAACAAGTCAACGGGGTTATGTCGTCTAATATCTATGTCAAAAGTGAGACTCAGGGATCATCTCAAGCTACTCATGCAATTGAAATGAACTACGTTATACAAGTATGCATGCTGTAGTATCCAAAACGAGGTTGAAACACGATGTACGACATATAAAAACACACACTTTTAAGTATATTAAATGATAAGCGCTGAAAAGTGCGCATTTAAACCCCTTAATCTTGAATGTTCTAGGACCTTATTCTATCTTATTTTCTTGTTTTAGTCTAATTTCATGTTATTTCCCTTTTCAGGCACTTATCCCCCAAAATAAGTCCATTCAGCTGAATTAGAGCATTAAAAGAAGCAATCTTAAGCTTAGTGGAAGAAAGGAGCAAAGTGGAAGCAAAATGGTGAAGAGGCCTTCTTCGATCGATCAAACCAAGTAATGATCGATCACACTGCGATCGTTCCGGCCATGCCATGATGGATCGAACCTTTTGTCCTTGTCTTTATTAAAATTTCCTATTTGATCGATCCAACCTTTCCTTCGATCAATCGAACCTTTTTGATCTTATCCTCACCTACCACTTTTATCCTTTTCCCAAAAATATCTCAGCCTTATCCTTATCCAAAAAGTGTGCCGACATAGTTCGATCGATCCAAGCAACCTTGTGATCGATTGAACTGCCTCAAGTGCGTGAAAAATAGAGTTCTAGCCAAATTAAAGGTGTGCTCGTGGTGCAATCATTTGGAGGTCCTAGTGCACGAGGTCTGACTATTGGGTGTGACATTTAAGCTACCTATATAAGGATTTTGGATTATTTTTAGAAAGAGGTTGGATTAGAGATAGAGGCTTGGCTAGAGATTAGAGAGAGAAAGATACAATTTTGGGAAAGTTATTCCGCTCTTCTAGGGTTTCTACCAAGAGCACAAGAGAAGGAAGATGATTTCTTCATGGAGATAGCTCTTGAGGGTTGGATAATAACATCAATGAGTGGCTAAACCATTTTCTTAGGGCTACAGATAGCCCTAAGCATGCCTCCTAGATTTTGATATTTTATAATTAATGGGGATTTGTGTTGTAATTCTTGTCTTGACATCTTATATATATGAATCTTGTTTCTACAATGATTTGTGTAGTTTAATACTTCTAATTAATCATTTAATTCTATCTATATGTCTATGTATGCTAGAATGAATGTTCATGTGTTTATCTCTAGATTTTGTGACATTGATGCATGTCTATGTGTGTTAATACTATGAATCTAGTGATGGTCAAGGCATGGTGCTTAAATAGATAACTCTTGTAGTTTATTTGATGGTTCATACTTATTTCTTGATGGATTGTACCACCTCCTTAGTTTAATTTTCATGTCACTAGCTTAGTTGTAGTGTAATTGCCTTATTTTCTTAGATTGGACAATCCATGCTTATTGTTTGATGTTCCATACTTATGAATGTAAGTAATATATTTTCCTAATTTAATGAGTGTGCATTAATTGTAGACTTATACAATGATTAATGGCTTAATTTGATATGTTGTGCTATTCACTATATTGGCTAGACAATGTACGCTTACTTGGCCATTCATGCTTGATAATTCAATTAATGGCACACACTTTTATTTACAACACGCAATCTCCCTAATTCATCAAATATTGAATGTCTAGGAAGGTAATGCTTAGTGGTGAACTCTATAACCCAAGGCTCCTCTCTCATATTCTCTATACCTCATTTGTTTTAGTTGTTTTACATTGCATTGTTTAGTTTAAATTGTAGTATAATTCAACCAACAAACTATCTTTTGATCATTCGACCTACTAATCCACCATTGATTCCAAAGTGCCGTTCATTTCCCTTGGGACGATCCCTACTTACTTTAGCTACATTAATAGTTAGTAGTGGTAGTGGCATTCTATAAATTCAAACTTGGCCAAATTTTATTTCACATTTTACCACGATTTTGTGCAACTAAGGATTAATGTCATTCCGGGGATTTGGTAATGCCATATTTTGGAACCAATTAGGAATTAGTACTCTTTTGATCTTGTCTCTATTTTATTTCATTTTGGTTACTTATTGTGTTTGTTCTTGATTGGCTAGGTGCATTGAGCCAAGGGAAGTGAAACAAAAGGATTCTAAAGCAAAAGGAGCAAGCTAAGCTAAGCAAAGCAAAAACATAAAAGCTAAGAATCTAAAAATTTGCAAAGCAAAGCAAGGTAAAGAAAAATTGAAAATAATCTAAAGTTGCTTAAGGACCCTTTGTGAGCTTTTTTAACTCTCTCTATAGTTAAATCGTCGGCTCGAGTGGTGGTAAGTTTTAATTTCTTAGATAAATTGTGAGCCCGAGTGGAGGCAATTTATTTGTTCTTGCATATTGTTAAAAGCATTGGAGTATGGGATCAATATATGTGGAGGTTTGTTAATTGATTTGTTGCGGAGGAGAAGTACTTGTTACATACTTGTTGTTGACTTGTTGCTTGTTTTGATTGTGCATGCATGGTCGTAGATCATTGAATCCTACTCTTGTCCCGCTTAATTTGAATCTTGAATCCATTGTTTTTTATTAATCCTAAGGGAATGGGTAATTTTAGTGACTCCATTTCATCAATGGAGTCACTAAAATGTGGAAGACATTGGTCACATCGACTAATAAAGTATCCATCACCCTAATGTGCATCACCATCATGACAATATTCAAGTGTCATTAGGCATGCCTAGACCCTTTATTCCACAACAACAAGGCCACGTTCCAATGGGAATGCCTCAGCCAAATTTTGTTCCACCCCAACCTCCTATTGTCCAAGGAAACCATGGTGCTCATGTAAAGCCACCGGTTATGAACCCTCCTCTTGCTTTGAGAGATCATTATGTGCCAAATGTGTATAATGCACCAACATGCATTTAATTACCTCCATTTAGAGCACACCATTATGAAATCAAATCATAAATAATTCAAATGCTTCCCAATTACTATGGGCTACCAAGTGAAGAACCTTACAAACATTTGGATGAGTTTCTTGAAGTATGTTCCACTGTGAAATACACGAACATGTCAGAAAAGGTTTTGAGGTTAAAGCTCTTCCCTTTTACCCTTAAAGATAAAGCAAAATATTAGTTCAACAATTTGAGGCCTTTTTCGATAACTTTTTGGGCAGAAATGCAACAAGAATTCTTAAAAAAGTACTATCTGGTTTGAAAGACCAATGTAATGAGAATTTCAATTTGAGAATTTTCTCAAGGGGAAAGGGAAATGTTTCATGAGGCATGGGAGCACTTAAATGACTTGCTTAAGAAGTGTCCACATCATGACATTCCTAAATGGCAATTGGTTTAATTTTTCTTTGCAAGTTTGTCGGATAATTATAAAGGCATGGTTGATGCTTCTATGGGTGGTTCTTATCTTGATAGGCATGAAGATGATGTATGGCGTTTGTATGAAAGCATGAGTGAGAATTCAATGCATCGATCTTTATCATCCAAAAATAGTAGAAATGTAGGTGAACGGAAGAATGTTGGCTTGTATCAAGTTGACTATTCTAATGATATAGCTGCCGAAGTGAAGTCTTTATCGCAAATGTTTGATCAATTTTTGATCAACCAAAATTCGGTGAACCAAGTGTCTTCCTCCCTTAGTCATACACATCATACTTCCAATGAATCTTGCATGACTTGTTTTATTGGTTTACATTCTACTTCCAATTATCCCCATGGACATGTGCAAAGTGAACACCATGAACAAGTGAATGCTACTTTTGTTTACCAATGGAATAATCCCTATGACACTCATTATAATGCCTGGTGGAAGAACCATCCGAACTTCTCTTGGAAAAGCCAAGGGGAAAGCTCAAACCCTCCCCAAAGTGGTTTCCAAAACAAGTATGTTCCGCCCCCAATACAAAGCCAGGGTTCCCAAGGTTATAGATCATCATACCAAGTATCACATGGAAACCAATTTTCAAACTCTCACTTTCCAAATCAATCTTCATATTCTTAAGGGAATTCAAGAAGTCTCGCATTTGAGGAGAAAGTCCTAACCGCTTTGGGTAATTTAGAGGCAAATACCCAATTACTTCATTCTTATTCCCAATCAATTGCAAAGCTAAAAACCCAAGTTAGGTAAATAGCTAGTACCTTGAATGCTAGGGAAAAAGGGAAAATGCCTTTGAATCCACCACCCAAGCAACAATTTGTTGTGGAGACCACTTTGAGAAGTGGAAGAGTTGTTGATAATCAAGTTGGTGTTCACAATAAAGAGAGTGAACCGGTGCAACCAAAAGTTAACACCCGTCCCGTCTTATATCCTATTCCTCCTTCATTACATGTGAAAGAATCCATTGTTGAGAATGTTACCAAAAATGATCTTGAAAAGGCTTTTGAGCCCAATGCGCCATTTTCGGATTCCTTATAAGGATCCATTTCTCTTGAAAAACAACAAAGCAAAACAAATGAAATAATTGATGTGTTTCGGCAAGTGAAAATCAATCTTCCTCTCTTGGAAGCAATTAGACAAATTCCGGCCTATGCCAAATTTTTGAAAGATCTTTGCACCCTAAAGAGGAAGAACAAGAGCTAAGCACCAAAAATAGTTGTTTTGACCGAGCAAGTAAGCTCCATTTTGTAACACAACACGCTCCCAAAATTTAAGGACCCTGGTTCACCAACTACTTCTTGCACCATTGGTGATCATGTCATTAACCGGGCTCTTCTTGATTTAGGAGCAAGTGTGAATCCTCTTCCATACTCAGTTTATGTTCAATTGGGCTTAAGAGATTTAAAATCGACGTTGGTAGTTTTGCAACTAGCCGACCGATTCATTAAAAAGCCCCGGGGAATTATTAAGGATGTTTTGATCAAAATTGATAAGTTCTTCTTCTCGGTTGATTTTATTGTCATTGACACGGAACCGGTCCCAAATCTAAAGAGCCAAATTCCCATTATCCTTGGCCATCCCTTCTTAGCAACCGCTAATGCCAACATCAATTGTAGGACGGGGATAATGAAGATTTCTTTTGGTCACATGAAGGTGAAGTTGAACATTTTCATTCCAACCCCTAATTCCATGGACAAGCATGAAGACGTGTGTGTTGTTAAACAATGTCTTGGAAACAAATTTGATAAAAATGAGTCTTTGCTTGATATTAAAATTTTAATTGTTTTGTTTTCATAAAAGATTTCAAAAGATGTTATTTTTAAACCAAGGGTTGCAAGGGCATGGAAGCCCAAGAATTTCATTGATAAAGGACCATCAATTTCATTTGAACCAAATCCAACAAGTTCCTTAGGGAATATTTTATTGGGTGGGGTTCGAAATTCCATTCACCCCATTAAGGAGGGGAGGCATATTAAGATCTTTGATCCGGGCTAAAAGAGCCCAATGTCTTGCTAGAGATGTTAAACATTAGTGCTTCGTACGGTTTTTCAACCCTATCCCTTCCTCATTTCTCTTTTTTTTTTTTTTTCTTGCATCATCTAGATATAATCGGGGATGATATATGTTATTTGAGACTTTGATAGGGAATACATGCCTTTCATCTCCAAATTAGGCATTTAGTGCCTGTTCGATTGATCACAAGAGATATTCGATCGATTGAATATCATCTTTGCATATTTTCAAGTCTCTGTCCCATCGTTCGAACTTTTTCTGCATATTTCATCTCTCTATCCACCATTCGAACTTCCTTTTCGATCAATTCAAGTTTCCTCGATCGATCTAGTTATACCTTCGATCGATCTCAGTTCTATACTTAGAAAATTTTTGAATCTCTGAAAATTTCATCTCTCTGTCTATCACTCGATCGATCATTCTCCGATCAATCAGAGTTCCTTATTTTTCCTTCCGTTGACTTTGACTTTTCAAATTTCAAATAAAAAAAAAAATTTAAAAATCTGAAAAAATTTTAAATTTTAAAAATTCAAAAATTTTCAAAAATATTGTCATTTTGTAGGTTTGAACGATCTGAGCACCTTCATGATCGATCCATGTTTAATCGATTTGATGAACCATGTGATCGATCACAGACGTCGAGAACAATTTTTAAAAAAGAGACCCTAGGGTCATTTGGATCGTTCACTTCATCAATCCAAAGCCCTTCTCTCTCTCCCGAGGCTATCTTTCGCCTTCCCGACCTCCGGCAAGTTTCCGGCGAGTCCCAAGCTTCAAATCTCCATCTGAGATCTTGATCTCCTCTCTTCTCTCTCTCAGTCCTCTTCTCTCCTTCATTTGTGGTATGCTTTTAATTTCCTTTTCCATTTTTGTTTTGTTTTCATGATTAAATTTGTTACCATGCTTAAATTCAAAGCTTTCTATGTTGATTTAGTTGCCATTTTTGGGTTTGCAAGCATGTGTATATATATGTATATATGTGTATATATAAATTTTTATTTCTGAATTTGGTTTGGGGGTCACATGCCGTTTCAAGTGACCATATATGCTTTATTGAGGTGTATAGTGGGTTACGAGCCTTGAAGTGACCATTAGGATACGCCCCGTGTCTTCCACGTCATGAACGAGTGACTTTTCATTTCTTAGCAGGTTCCAACGATCACACCAGTGCTCAGATGATCATAGCACGATCGATCCAATGCATATCATGATCGATCAAACATGGATCGATCACATTTTTCTATGATCATTCGAACTTCACTGTTTTGCATATTGATGCTCCTATACCCTCTCTTGTGTCCATGCTATTATATTAATGCCCAGTGCTTATGTTTTCCACATTGGTTGTATTCTGTTCTTGTCATATCTAGCATGTTTCACACTTTTTGATCATTCATTGTTTATACTTGGCCTGCTTTACCACTTGCATTGATAGGTTTATGTGTTCTATTTTGAGTTGTCTATCTTGATATGACAAGCATGCTTCTATCTTTTATACTTTTAATTCTATAGTTTATAAATCATTTCCTATTACTGACTACAATTGCAAGTGTTCTTTCTTTTTGCAAGCCATGACTAGGTTCAAGACCATAGCCAACCGGACTTATGACAGCCGGGTTAGACAGCGGATAGAGGAGCCCGAGAAGCCTACGGAGCCAGCTCCTACTTAGTCCGAGCATTCCTTCTCTTTATAATACCCCTAAATTTTAAGGCTTTTATTTATTTTATTTTGTTTTATTTATCTACATGGCTATTTAAATTATTAATTTTTATTTGTTATTTAAATGCTAAGTGTTTAGTTTTTAGTGTTTATTTTATTTTATTTTTATTTACTTGACTATTTGAATTATTTGTGGAGTGTTTAAATTTAGTAGAAATTGTTTTATTAATTGTAATTTTTTCAATGGTGTTGTTTTAGATTTATTTTTAGTAAATTGTATGGATGGGTAGATATATATATATATTAAAGTGTTATATACATAGCATATATATATATATATTAAATACATATATATATATATATATATATATATATATACTTTAATATATTTGTATATACAAATATATATATATATATATATATATATATATATATATATATACTTTAATATATTTGTATATACAAATATATATATATATATATATATATATATATATATACTTTAATATATTTGTATATACAAATATATATATATATATATATATATATATATATATATAGATGTAGGCGTGCATATATATAAAGTATATGTGCATAGTAGTTTAAGTTTAAGGTGAATATTGATGTTAATTTATTATTATAAGTTAGCATTTGTGATTTTATTATTAAAATATTATATTGTTACCTTATTAACTTTCAAAGTCAAACGTGTTATAGGTTTTGTGGATTATAATGAATAGTTATGTTAGATTAGAATTAGGTTTTATATATTATTTATTTATATAGTTAAGTGCTGGGTGGGTAAAGGAGAAACGAAATAGAAAAAAAAAAAAAGAACAGAGCGGCAGTGAGACCTAGAGAGGAAAAGAGGAGAAAAGAGAAATCGGCGAAGAACGGTATAGAGTTTCGACTCGAAACTCTAAGGCAAGTCCTTGTTCTATTCATTCTGTTAGATTTCGTGATCGGTTCATCTCTAAAATGATCTTAGGATTTAATTGTAAACATGAATCAACAGAGAGTATGAAATTATATGGGTATATATGTGTGTGTGTGTGTGTGTGTGTGTGTGTGTGTGTGTGTATATTCATGAGCATAGTTATTATTTTCTGAAATTTAGATGTACCTATGCATGATTGAGTGCTTTAAATTTAGTTTACCAAGCTTAGTATGAATTTTAGAGATCATTCTGGACATAGTGTTTTAAATCTATTTTACCAAGCTTAGGATGGAGGAGCCGACTCATGCTGGGAGTTAATGTAAATAATGTTA